CCATCCCCATCTGGAGTCCCATCCCTACCTGGAGTCCCATCTCCATCCCCACCTGCAGCCCCATCTCCATCCCCACCTGGGGGCTTCATCCCCATTTGTGGTCCTATCCCCTCCTGGAGCCCCTTCCCCACCTGGAGTTCCGTCCTGATCTTGAGTCCCATCCCCTCCTGAGACACATTCTCACCTGGAATCCCTCCTTCACCTTGCACAAGTATAATTAATATCTGTGTGACTGAGAAACCTCGTGGATTAGGGGAAATTAAACTGTTTTCTTAGACTATCCTCTCCTCTATTTCCTGTGTTTTTCTCTCCAAACTAAAAAGAAAAATCATCACAGCATCTTAGAACACAATTCATACAATTTTTAACAAGGAAAGGGCAGGATTGGAGCTTTGCTGCAGAAACATTTCTGGCACAGGAAAGCAGAGAGGGGCAGAGCTGTGCCATCAGGATGCCACTGAGCTTACGGCAGGGGTTCCAGCGGACCCCCATTCAGACCCATGGGGTGCTGGGCAGGCAGGCTGAAGAGGGAGCGAGGAGGGTCCCCGGCATCTGCACACAGGACACACTACTCCCATCTGCAGCACACCATTGGGCATTTGAGAGGGGGCATCAAAGTGTCAGGTGGCCCCTCCGCCTGCCACAAAGAGTTAAGACATGCTGTCGTCCTGCGTGTCTGTCGGTGTTCCCACCATCGTCAGTTGGACTAGGAAGAAACCTCGGCTGGTTGTATCCATGTGGGTTTTTTTCCATTTCTCCATCCAAGTTTCAAAGCAGCAAACACCCTGTGACCAGCCACTTCCAACAACACAACTATTAGCAGTGCTAGAAACTGAAGCTGTTACCCTCCACAAACACACACTCATGGAGTTCAGCGTCAGAACCACACCAAGTATCCACAGTCTCCTCCTGGGACTCTACAGCTGCTGGGCGACACCACATTCCTAAGACAGGTCTGCCCGATGAGCGGTGAGCTCTGAGAGGCTTTCTTCTGCCAGCACCAAGAAGAGATGAGTCAGTACCCTGCCAGTGTTGCCTCTCTGCTGACAGAGAGGTTGGGATTTGACCCCATCCTATGAGGACCACTGTGACCAAGGCTGTTGGACTGCAAAGCCTACCCTGGGCCCTTTAGTTCTGCCAGAGGAGGTGTCCCCACCCACACCTGCTGCTTCCTCCGGATCTTGGGTCCCATCCCCTCCTGAGTCTCACTGGAGGCCCAGTGCCAGGGCCATGCATGTGGTCTTTGAAGGCGGCACCCCTGCCACTGCCTGTGCACCCCATGAGTGCCGGGACCGTGCAGCATCCCACAAACTCCATCCCAGGCCTCCCAGCTCAGTGCCCTTGGAGAACCAGGCTGCCTGCCTTCATCCTGTCCCCAGAGCCCGTGTCATGAAGAAAGGCCGCTCTTCTCTAACACTGGGCTGTTTGGCAGCAGAATAACCTTCACCAGGAACAATATTATCTCTTCAAATGTAGCGTGGCGCACTGGATGGCTGGCTCTGGAGCTCCCGTCTGACCCGAGGACGCATGGTGTCATTATCAGCGATGCGTGCGGGCCCAGCGAGGTCAGTCCCTGATGCAGTCAGGCGTGCATAACGACCAGGCAGAGGACGCCGCCCGCCAGAGAGCCAGCAGCAGAGGGGACATGGACAGACGCCTAGCCATAGGCCTGCACAGGGACCACGGGGTGGTGGGGAGATCCTGCCGTGAGCCCCAGCCTTCGCCTAGTCCCTCCATCTTTGAGGGGCAGCAGCCTATGGCCTCAAACCTAATAAATCCAGGAGAGAGTCTTTCATGTGGAAAACAGAAGTTTATCCACAGCCATAACAACCTAAAATGCGCTCTTTCTCCCCCAGATGCGATCCTCTTAATGCAGTGGACTTTTAAACCCAGTACTGCATTTACTGACACTTCTGTCAAATGAGATAAGGCTCTGGTGGGCTCTGGAGACAGTCACGTGCGGAGGAGCAGAAGGGAAGTCTCACCTGCGTCCTTGCGCAGACGTCCCTGCCTGCGGCGTCCTGCTTGGAGCCTGTGGGCTCCAGCTTCTTTGTGACTGTTCCACACTGCTGCTGTGGTGTTTACCTGGTGGCTCCAAGTCATTTATCTACTTTCTCTCTGACTTCTACCACAGAAGTCCACGTGTAACTCTGTGAAAGTCAGGTGTGCCTGCAGGGCCTCATAGTACCATGTCCATAGGTCTCATTGAAGACCTCTGCAGGTGGGGACATTGTGTCCACATACCACCGAGAGGCACACAGGATGCCCTGCATAGCCAACTGCGAGTAGGTTTCCTTAGGAAGGTGTATTTTCCAGGGGAAGGGACGTGATGCCAGCCCCAGTATGGGGAAGCAGGGGCAGGGGCTGCCCTGTCCCCCTGAGGCTGGCACACTCTCTGTTCCCCTCTGTGCCTCTCTAAATTATCTGCAGTGCTGGTGTGCATGGGGTACACACACATACACACATATGCACACGTGTACACATGCATGTACACACAGTGTTCTGTTGCACTCGGGATCCTTGTACCAGCTAGAACTCTCAAGGGGCTGGTAGGAATCAATGGCTTCCCATCTGAGTTAGTAATGGGACATGTGTGTGAGAGAGACAGAGATAGAGACAGACACAGAGATAGACAAAGACAAAGACAAAGAGACAGAGACACAGAGACAGAAACACAGAGACAGAGAGAGACAAAGACAGAGACAGAGACACAGAGACAGAGACACAGAGACAGAGAGAGACAAAGACAGACAGAGACACAGAGACAGAGAGGAGGCAGGTGCGGGGTCCCTGGAGTGGATGGGGTCCCAGAGTGGGCAGTGTCACTGGAATAGAAGCCTGTCTTGGTTTTCACTCGCCTTCCTCACTAAGCTTAATCAACTCCAGCTTTTGATTTAAAGTGAGAGATATATGACTTTTCCTTTCATTTGAACACTTAGAAATCATCATAGGGTTATTAATTGGCCTAATTTCAAAATATTTCAATTGTGGGGAATAGGGAGGCCCAAGGAGAAGAGGAAAGGGAGCAGTCAGAGCGCAGTGACATCCATCGATTACATTTGCACATGGGCACTCTGTGGGCCCTTAATTGTGTGCCACAGCCACAGCAAAGATCTCTGTCATGTATTCTGAGAATTACCAAAAGGGGACACTCAGAGTGTAGTGACCGAGGCTGCTGGGCATGGCAGTGACAGACCTGGTAGACGCAGATGGCTACCCACCTTCTACCTGGGAGCATGCTCAGTACAGTGAGCACAGTGAGGTGAGTGCCTGCACCTCCAGCACCTCCACCACCTCCAGATGACTTACGACGCCCAGCAGGACGTGAACACTGCATAAATAGGGTGCTGTGTTGTTTAGGGGATCATGATAAAGGGAATAGCCTAAAGTGTTCAGTACAGACACAACCACCCATTTTTCTTAAAATGCTTCTGTTCTGCTGTTGATTGAATTCATGGATACAGAGCCATGGGTGCCAGGGGCCCACTGTGTTTTCCAAAGCAAGCACCAGCCAAATGTGCGAGGGAGGCTGCCCCTCTGCAGGGCCACCCACTGTGCCTGCCCATGGCCATCCCTTCAGGGAGGTTCCAGAGACACTGGCCTTCCCATTTCTGGCTGTGAATGAGGAGGTCAGAAGCTTAATACTCCTTGGTGCTGGGCATTGGGGACACTGGGCACCCCACCTGGCGGTCCCCCAGCATGTGGGAGAATCCCCACAACGAGGGGGACACTCAGACCATCCCCACCACAGGGAAGGCGGCTCTGATCTCTGACACTGTACAGAACTCACAAAAAGGGAAGAGGGGCCTGCCCGTTTGGTTTTGGGGGCCTGGTGACATCACAGGCCACATTTGGAGCAGGGGCAAGAGCAGGCAGGACCCTCCTCTCTCGGGGAATCGTCCTTCCTTCTCCCAGCAGCCTGGACTAGGGTAGGGGGAGCCAGGCTGGTGCCCAGTTCCAGCTTCGCCTCTATCGAGCAGCACGGCCAGTGCCCTGGGTGGTGACCCATCTGTTCTCCCCTCCAGGTACCAGCAGTGCAGAGGTGAAGGAGAACCGGGACGTGGGCAACGTGGCCAACCTGGGCGCCAGGCCGCTTTCCGCAGGAGACCGAGCCCGCGCCGCACCAGGCCTGAAAAGGAAACGGCCCCTGGAGGAGGGGAACGGGGCCCACTTGTGCAAGCTCCAGCTCATCTGGAAGAAGCTCTCGTGGTCCGTGACGCCTAAGAACGCACTGGTCCAGCTGCACGAGCTGAAGCCAGGCCTGCAGTACCGGACAGTGTCGCAGACTGGCCCGGTGCACGCCCCGGTCTTCGCCGTGGCCGTGGAGGTGAACGGGCTCACGTTCGAGGGCACCGGCCCTACCAAGAAGAAGGCCAAGATGCGCGCGGCCGAGCTGGCACTGCGGTCCTTTGTGCAGTTCCCCAACGCCTGCCAGGCGCACCTGGCCCTGGGCGGCTGCCCTAGCCCCAGCACCGACTTCACCTCTGACCAGGCCGACTTCCCGGACACGCTTTTCAAGGAGTTTGAGCCGTCGGCACCGCGCCAGGGCCTGCCAGGCCGGCCCGGGGACGCGGAGCTGCTGTCTTCCGCCTACCGGAGGGGGCGGCTTCTGCGCCGTGCACTGGACCTCGTGGGCCCCACTCCCAGTCCCACCGGCGAGCGCAATCCGGTGGTGCTGCTGAACCAGCTGCGCGCGGGCCTGCGCTACGTGTGCCTGGCAGAGCCGGCCGAGCCCCGCGCGCGCAGCTTCGTCATGGCTGTGAGCGTGGATGGCAGGACGTTCGAGGGCTCAGGCCGCAGCAAGAAGGTGGCCAAGGGCCAGGCCGCGCAGGCTGCCCTGCAGGCGCTCTTCGACATCCAGCTGCCTGGCCACAACCCTAGCAGAAGTAAAGGTCACCTCTTGCCACAGGTGAGAATCCCTGATGCTGCCAGGTGGAGGCCAGCTCGGTGGGGGCGGGCAGCCCCCCCTCCCACCAGCTGCTCCGCGCTTGCCTCCCGGGGCAGTGCCCATGCGCCGACTTAGCCGAGGGAACCGGGAGGCTGTGCCAGCAGCAGGGGAGGCCTCCCGCCTGGTCTCCACAATGCGTGCTTGTCTGCGTGGACAGGGGACAGGGTGGCAGAAGGCTGAGAGGATGGGAATGGTCCCCAGACCTGGTGGGTGGTGACCTGGGTAGGACCCAGAGTCTGGATCCAGGGACACACTGGGGAACCTGAGGGGTGGGTGGGGGTCAGGGCTGGACTTCCTGTCCTCTACTGGACCTCCTGCGTTGGTGCACTCCGCCGCGGGTCTGCCATCTCACCTCTGGCCGCTCAAGAAACCTTTAGCGCTGTCTGCATAGTCAGGAGCTACTCTCTTGCCGTTTTAAAACACCAGTATCCTGCCAAGTCTTGTAATTGCTTATTTATGCAAATTATCTTTTCTCTTATCATTTTGAGAATTGTTTGTGGGCAACACTAATGTAGTGGCTACAGAAAATTATCTTTATTCATTTTGGTATCAATCAAAAAAAACCATTTACATAGTTAAAAAGCACTTAGCCTGGTGCAGGATTCCTGGTGGGTGCTGGGTAATTGTAGGTGATTGCTGTGATCACCGTGGTCGCATCACAACTCCTGGAACAGAGTCCGTGTCTTGCCCAGGGAGGTCCCAGATCTGCTGCAGAATGTGGGTAGCACAGGACTTGAGCTGCTTCGGCTGCTGCTACCCAGAATGCAACGGTTACAGGCCCTCGTCTTGAGTTAAGGGGGGGGAGGGAGCAGGCATTTGTTGTCCACTCACTCGGTGCTCTCCAGACTCTGAGAAGGCCTCGGGCAGACCCCAAGTGCAGGGGGACAGTCGAGGAGACACTGTGCTCAGACGCCCAGTGGGGCCCTTCTCTCACCATCTCTGTCCGCCACACCTTCATTTTTGAGTATTAATTGAAGGGCTAATAATCATTCTAAGGAGAGGTTGGAGGGATTTAGACCATGGTTTCTGTTGGTCTTGCCTTTCAACTTACCCTCAGATATTATAAATACACAGTCCACACAAAGCAGGGCTGGACAGGCCAGCACCAGGGCCTTGTATCTGCTGCGGTGTCCCTGAGCACCTCCCAGGGAGACCGTCTGGGCCCTGATTTCTCGTTCCTACACCTTTATCTCATTTATTTCTCCTCTTTTTCCTCTTTATCCTGTTCCTCAACCATCTGTAGCCAAAATTTGCCATTAACCTCACCTTGGAGGAGCTGGGTGGGATGCATGCCCTCCTGAGGCCGCCCTGACCTTGGGTGTGACCTTGGGCAGGTCCAGGACTGGCTCACATCTCCTGCACCTGCTCTGGAAGATCCCAGAGAGGGGGGTCTGTGAGTGTCCCCCATGGTGGATTTCCACGCATTCTACCTGGCACCAAACCCAGGGTGGCCACACCCTCTGGGCTAGACCTGATACTGTTCTGTTCAGCAGGAAACATCCTCCACTCCTGCCCCTGCCTCACTCCCGTTCCCAGCCCCGTGAGACTTGAGGATGTCATGAATTCCGTCTGTGATGCCTTTTCTTTCATGTTGTCAGCCTGAGCTTGCAGAAGCCAGGCAGTGCCACTGCTGTGTAATAGCCATTTGACCCCAGAGGCAGCACGTCAGCTAGAGCTGAGGCTGCTGAATTGTTTTTCTCTGACATTCCCTAAACACCCGACTGGGTGATGGAGGTAGGGAGGAGGGCCTCATAGGCCACTCTTCAATGGTGGCTGCTGCCACCCGGCACTCATTACCCTCCCCGGCCTGCGCCCCGTGCACCCGGGCTGGGTGGGGCAAGGATAGCCAGGCTCCAGACCAGGCACCATCAGCAGTTTATCAAATGAGCATCCTATCTGGGATGTGGTCTGGATTCAGAGGAGGAAAAAAATCAAAAGAAAAGATTCCCAGCGTCACTGTGAACACTACGTTGCCTCCTGCTCTGCCTCGACCTCCCCCCATGGAACCCCACCCCAACATTCTTCCTGCTGGCCCCACAGCTCAGTGGCTTTGGAGCTTAAGTCCCTGAAGGCCCTGCCCTTCCTGGCCCTTTTCTGTCTGCTGGTTGGCACCCATGTGTGGAGGGTAAGCCAGACATCGTCCCAGGAAAGGGCAGGTCCATTGTCAATGACCACAGGCCCACGTCCATTAGGGAATATGGTAGCAGCCCCTCCTGCTGGAACAACGCGGTCTCTGCAGCTTTGTTACTGACACCAGCATTCAGTGTCCCCTGCCCAGAGTCCCGGGCTCTGTCCTAGCCTGCAGAATGGCAATCCCAGAGTTTGGTACTAAGAGCCTCATGCAGTTTTGATAGAAGCAAAGTAAGATTAATGCTTTTAATTGAAACCTTGGCTGTCAGACATCCTAACGGGAGTTTTCTTCTTTAATTAAAAATCCATTAAAAAGTATCTCCCAAAAAAAAAGTTTCCAGCATGACAGTGGTGGGTAGGGATCTTAACAGTCCACTCTGGGACCTCCTGCACGATCTTAGTGGTTATCCAGGAGGGTCTCAGCCTGCTCTTCCAGCCCCCACGTGGCTGGAGGCTCACTCCTTCAGACACCTGTGCTGCCCCCAGCCCAGCCCAGCCCAACCTCAGAGCCCCAGTAGGGGAGAGTCTTGCTGTCTTGCAGACAACTCTAAGGAAGCAGAACCTCCCCAGCTGCCCTCAGAGACCTACAGCGTGTGTCTGTCTGTGCTCATTGCAATTGTCAAGTAATTCAAAATATCACCTTTCCTGAAAACACCTCGAGTACCTTAAGCAGTAAAGATGACGTGGCATAGACTTGTTTTACTTGTTTACAGTCTGGATTTTGAAAGAGTAAATTTAGAAAGTATGATATTCTCATTAAAAGTGAAGCTGTGACTTCATTGTCTAACTCACACTAATCTCTATACCTGGCAGTGTTTCTCAGACAAGGGCTCACGCACACCTTCAATAAAAGTAAAAATTCAAATAAGAAGGCATGTTTCACAGTATTTAGAAATGAGAATAAAGTTCCCTGTAATTCTGGTAAAGAAAAGCAAAAGTTATCCATGTGCACACAGCTCCAAAAGGGGAGTTTACTGATATGTTTGAGAGTTTCTCTCTTATAGTCAACTACCCCCTTTATTGCCTCATTTTTTAACTTCATGTCGGGTGCGGTGGTTTCCGTGTCTACTAATATCAAGTAGGAGCAGTGGAGGCCCACTTCTCCCTCAGAATGACACAGGGATACCTTGATAAGCCGCTGTGTAAAGGCCAGTTGCTTTGCCCCAGGCCTCCGGAGGTGCGAGCAGGGGAGTTGCACCTGTAGGTCCAGTCCTGACTGTCCCCAGCCCAGCTCACTGAGCTGCAGCAGCTCTGTCCCCCGTTCTCTGCGGCTGTGATTACTAGGAGAGGGAAGACACCATGGGAAGAGATGAGGTAATTGGAGTAGACTTTTTTAAGTTCCAGCACTTCTAGTACCTCTGGGTCAGAGCTCTAGGGAACTAGCTGCAGACCAAGGGCTCATTCTCTGTGAATCATTCTCCCTGGCTGCACTTCAGGAATAACCATTTGCACACATGTGTCCGTCCCTCTCCCCACAACAAGGTGAGCCCCAGCAGCCTCAGGCCACTTTACAGACCATCTCTCTAATCTCCCACTCACTCCAAGTTGTCTTACTCAATAGAAGTGGAATCCTAACTGCTGTAAAGCAAGCTGCTCAGGAAGGTTGCCACAACAAATTAGCAGCAGTAGAGGAGTCCTCAAATCTTAAGGAGACTTAAAAATAAGTAGGTATGGAAATGACGTTCAGCTGATCTTGAAACACCAGCCAGTGTCCACGCTGTTAACCCAAACACACTCCAGAAGGCATCGTGGGCAAGATGATGCCCAGGGGTCCCCTTCCACTCCCAGCTCCAGAAAGGATCAGTGAGGGCTGGCACCACCACACACGCAGCCCCCGCAACTCCAGAATGGCATCTGACCAACACTGGGTGCTTCTCAGGTCCTTCCAGCAGAGACAGGCAACTTTAGATTTCCAAAGATTTTCCTGGAAAGGGCACAGATGTGCATTACCACTCAAGGTGGAGCAAACTGGCTTGTTGTGAGGGCAGCACCAGGTCCACCCAGCCCAGCACCAGGCCCTTCCTGTCACACACCTGTCGACAAACAGTCCCACTCCCATCCCTCCTTCTAACCTCAGCCTTCTCCAAAACGTGATGGGATTTGGTGCGACTTAGTTGCTTTATCTGCCTGGGCTTAATCCTGCCTTTCACACAATCTGATGCCAGGAAGTGGGAGAACAGGCAACATGTCAGGTTGTTAAATAATGATTTGCTTAGCTAGTGAGTAGACAAACCCAAACTATGAATCTCTAAGCCCCACCTGAGATATGTGAACATTGCCATATTCTTTATGAGAAAACATGCAGTTCTGTGACCCGTCATGGGGCAAAGGACATGACCTGAATGGATCCCCAACATCCGACAGGAAGGAGAACTCTTTCTTGGACCCAAAGGCCTGGCTGCAGGGCATCTCCCCAGCTCTGTGGTGAAAGGGAGGGTCGCAGAAGGTTCCCCACAGGTGGTACCACTTTTCTGTGGGTGGAATCTATGCCATGACCCTGGTAGTGGACAGCACCACCGCAATTCAGCTCTGCTCCAGGAGTTTGGGGTGTGAGTCAGCACTGACCATCATTGTTGGATCCCCAGGACTCAAGATGAACAAATCTTATAGACACCACCTCAGTCAGATGGCTCTGCTCCCTCAGGGTCAGCCTCTCAATCGGGTCATCCACACCCCTCTGTGCCCACTGATCGCTTCAGAAGGAGGAATGATTCTCTGGATAATTTTTTCTAAATTAAAAAAAAAAAAGTCTTTGTTATGTTGCAAAAAATGCCTTCCATTGAGACTGAGCCTCATAAGGGGAGGAGTCGCTTGTTTTCGTATTTGCATGA